ATTTGACATGACAACTTAAATCGATGCATATAAGTCCTTGGAACTTCGCTGTAGATTACTGACTGACTGCTAATTATAAACTGCAATGAGCTCACAAAAGATTATTTGCCAATGACGATTACATTGGATTAAAACTCCAGAATCTAAATAGGGGTCCTAGAAAAACCACCAGTAGTGTGCCTTGTAGTGATAAATAATTTCCAACAATGAATAGTTCAAATGTCTAACGTTTTATTTGTATGAGTTAAACTAGGTGAAATTTGGTAATCAAAGATCGTCATCTTTTTTGTCCTACAGTGCGATTTGCGACGCTTGTCAGTCAGTCAGTAACAACGTGGAACTTCGTACGTACGTACATCAGTTCGAGTTGCCATTCCACATTAGCACAGAGATGCAGTTGTCAATTCGATTCCCGTAGTGTTAAAGGTAGTAAAAGCATAAGCAGTAATCGGAAACATTAGGGTTTGAAGATGTTATTCAAGGAGTATAATCCAGTGAAATAAATTTGGAAAGAGAAAAAAAGAAGGGACATGGAGAATTCAGAAGATTAGGATTTGGGAGAACACAAATAGTGGATGCACCTGCGCCATTACAAACAATTTCGAGCCATGCGACGCTTGTATACTCCCGTCACCCAATCATCTTGGTGTTGTAGATCCCCACATGTTTTTGAATAAACTGTTTCACATGATATAGTGTTTTGTCCTTTTGTAACGATTGCTTGAGTCCTTAAGATATAAGGGGTACATATTAACAGCTTAGTATTCGGGTAAATAATATCCGCCGAAGCCAGCTCACAAAGTATGTACAACTGTGGTGCATCTGTTGTCTCAAACCTGATCTACCCTGATAAGTGACTTCCAAGCTTTAGCGTAAGACTTTATTTAGGACCCTTAAGAATTTTCAGTAGATGTCGTTCAATATCTTTCTGCTGATGAGATGAAGCTTACGCGCCGAATCACCCGAATGTCTTTCCAGAAGATATGGATCATCTTCAACGTTAAACTGATAACAAACTGAATTAGGTGGTTGTCTACAAGTCTTTACCAGCATAATCTGACCTTTGTACATCAGCCAGTCAGATAACATTGTCAAGGCATTTAAGTGTTTCGTGAGAGATGAGTTACCAAACACTTCAGTCTATAGTCAGACTCAGTCATCCACAACGTCAGACCAGTTACACATACACCTGGTCGATCGATTCTGAGTCATGTCACCCAGAGTCCCTAACCACTGGTTACGATAGTCTTGTGGACCCCAACCAAGTAGTCGGACTAGGCTTTCGTGTAAACATTTCATAACGAGATCCCCAATTTTTCACCACTCATTTGATAGCTGTCAAACGGAATAATTCCTTGTGACTAAGACATACACGCTAGGTTTGGGGCTTCTCCCAATTGTACTGAATACAGATTGTCGATTTTCTGTTTGGAAAATAGGATTCCAGAAAAAAATTGTGCGATCAAAGACAAGGATTAAATGGGATGGTAGCTAGTTGAAAAGTAATGTATCACGACGTCCGGTTTAACATTCTCCACTGTTTTCATTGTCATTCCATTGTTAAGACTGTTGAAATTTTCGATGCTTTTACTGGAAGACAACAAGAACAGTTGTGGAACAGCGGAAATCCACAAGCTTCAACCTAGTGTAAACGAATTGACCACATTCTGCAGAACTTAGGGCTTTGATGATGATTTTACTAAGGGTACGTCGGCCACGATAATGATAGAGACATTTAGACCTTTTTCAGTCAATTCATTGTAGCATGGGCGGTTTGTATCTTGCGTAAGGATTTGAGTACTAAGAACCCATTCTCTTCCTCGAAGACTAGTTGTTCGTGTCAGTCAGTCAGTGACAACGTAGAACTTCGTACGTACATACATCAGTTCGAGTTGCCACACCACATTAGCACAGAGATGCAGTTGTCGATTCAAATCCCGTAGTGGTAGAGGTAATAAGAGTATAAGCAGTAATCGGGAAGATTAACGTTTGGAGATGTTATTTAAAGAGTATAATACAGTGAAATAAATTTGGGAAGAGAAAAAAAAAGAGACAAGGAGATCCAAATTCGAGAGAACACAAAGAGTGTATGCACCTGCGCCATTGCAAACAATTTTGAGCCATGTCATTCAGGGTCTCTAACCATCGGTTGCTGTCATCTCGCGGTCCCCAACCAGCTAGTCTATACCTACCAACATGACGAACTCTGTGCACTTGTCAGTGACTTCATGGACTTGTGCCATGTTTTGGTCTGGCCACCCCTAGCTTTCTTCCATCCTACTCCTACACCATAAAACATCGCACGTCGAGGCAGTCGGTCGTTGGGCATACGTAACACGTGTCCCAGCTATCTCAACTGAAGAACTTTCACTACGTCATCAACTGATTTGCCATCCTTACCTAGTACCCGTTTCCTAACAACTGTGTTACTTACTCGATGGTCCCAGGATATACGAGCAATATTTCGAAGACACCTATGATCGAATACTAGTAACCTACGAATATCCTCTACTCTTACCGGACATGTTTCACTGCCATAAAGTAGGACGGGACGAACTGCTGCGCAGAGCTCGACCGAAGCTTCTACTTTGACGCGGTGGTCGGGCTTGCCTGTCGTGATGACCCAACCGAGCTATATTGGCTGGAACATATGTTCCTGTAGGTTCTACCATGCTAGGCAGGTCGATTGGTGAACGGTAAGACTAAAAGCAGCAACTCAATGTCTGAGGGCGAAGTCGTACTGCTGACTGTAGAGGGTTGTGACAGCAGTAAGGTGTTTCCTTCGGACAACCAGCATGACAGCGATGCTGCCTTCCCACAAGGAGGGATGGGGTTAGAAAAGGTCGACCCTAAAAGTGTCACACCTCACCTTACCTCACGGATTTCCGTCTCCGGCGGTAAGGCCCTTTGAAGAACGGAGCTAACACGTCAAAAACCTTCCACAAAAAGGCCGTGCGCGACCGGCCTCAAGCAGTTGTCCCTTGGGCTCTGCGGTCACGCTCCCAGGTCGTTAAGACCAACACTAATCCAATTTCCTTTTCAGGTTCCTCAAGAAATACCCTTCCACGGTGTGGGCAGCCGGGAAGTGACATCAGCCCTCATACCCGTAACAACACACGAGACCAAGTTGGTCACATTCAAATCCTTCCTACACCTCCTAATACCTCTCTTATCTCCATGACTAACCCTCCTCACGTCTCTTTATCACCTCGCGCCGCTAGGGCAAACGATTCGAGTACGTGGAACGCTATTCCTGGTCTCCTGAAACCACGCTCTAAACTACACGTAGGAGCTTTTAACGTACGAACACTGTGCCAAATAGGACAGCAGGCTTCCTTAGCTAGGACTTTAGAATCTCGCGCCATCGATGTGTGCTGCGTCTCCGAAACGCGCATACAGGATCCAAGTACCGTCATTCATTTGACCTCACCATGCCAAAATAAAGAACCGACTCGATTCACACTTCGTGTATCTGGAAGCCCTGATTCTGCTTCCCGTGGCCTCGCCGGCGTAGGTATAGCATTGAGTCCTAGGGCAGAACTAGCTCTCTTAGAGTGGATCACAGTAGACAGTCGTTTGTGCGCTGTCCGACTGAACGGAACAGTAAGAATCCGGAAAGATAGGGACACTCGTCGTTGCCTCTTCGTCGTCTCTGCCTATTCTCCCACTGACTGCAGCTCAGATGATGTGAAAGATGAGTTTTACAGAAAGCTTTCGGACCTTCTCCGAAAAGCTAAGCGCTCGGATGTAGTAATAGTGGCTGGTGACTTTAATGCTCAAGTAGGTAAACTAAGCGATAGGGAAAGACACCCAGGTGGATCTTATGGTGTCGTGGCTCAAAGAACAGATAATGGCGACCGTCTGTTGCAGCTATGCTCAGATAACCGCCTGTTCCTTGCAAATAGTAACTTTAAGCATAAAGAAAAACATCTTTTAACATGGCGACCCCCTAATTCGTCCCAACGTTGGACCCAAATAGATCACATCGCTATCAGCCACCGATGGAGGGGCTCGATAGAAGACTGTCGCTCATTCTGGAGCACATGCCTAGATTCAGATCATGCTCTAGTGCGAGCGCGTATTTGCTTGGGTCTTACTGGACGTTGGAAAGACGCTGCAAGGAAACATCTTAGGGGGCTACTTAATGATGGTCAAGCTAAGAGTATATTTCAGGAACAACTAGGAAAACAGTTAGGCAGCCATATAGGTGATGCCCATCCCGAGGCAGCATGGAATGATATCCGAAAAGCTGTGGAAACAGCAGTGATATCTGCTAGTACGGTAACCCGTAAGGTTAGGGAGCAAGCGGTCAAATCAAGACATTTTTAGATCTGAATTCAGTCCAGCCACACTATATCCGATAACGTTTATCCTTCAAGTAACGAAAGTGGTGCCATCGTAATGATGCATGAAAATATGATGGATCTCCAGTGGTAAGTTTTCGTGACGAATTACAACTTTGGGAAATCTTGAGAATCATTCAAAAAGGCTTTAATTCTTACAAAGAACGACTAACAGCCGAAGCCCTACACATATGGGCTAATTCAAACAGTATTAATAGGAGAGATGGAATACAACTAGCTGTCCTACGGCAACTAATAATTAATAGGTAGACCTGGACTCCTTATTCCATTTGACCTGTCTATATCATATCAACTAATCAATAGATAATACATCCAAAGGTTTCAAATCAGTTAGCTTATCTGAATATGTTAAACAATCGACTCGAACATTAAAATAACACAAACTTTCAATTACAAATACATTCCTCTTTGAATTCATTCTTTTATCTTGTTTACTTAACTTCATTTAATGCGTGCTGTGACATTTTTGATTGATTTCCTATATAAAATAATATGTTTTTCCTAATATACACAGACCGAGGACAATATATAGTTGAATGAAATTTTTCCTCACATCACTTATGTATACACGCAATGTTATCTTAACACTTTTCGCTTCATACCGCATGTCTCTTACACATTAATGTAAATACCTACTTTAAACATTGTTCACTTTGGTTGGATGACTTATTCAGTATACAGTAAACCAGAGAACCATGTACCTCTATATATATATTCCTTGAAAAAGCTTGGACCAATCTGCCAGGCGAAACGTTGGATTTACTTCAAATTCTTTTGCTGCGATCTTACAAATACATTCTTCCTCTTCAATGACTCACACTAACTCAGCGCCAAAATAAACTGAAACAATTCGTTCAAATTAAGATCAAAGTTCATATTAATTTTGAGACCTGTTTGAAAGAAGCACGTAATTTAAAAACATTTCGCCTTCACGTTAGTTATTTAAGGGAAATGTTGATTTTCCCCCCTTACGTCGTGTAATTTGGAAAAATTTATCGACAAATACACGTAACGTACCGTGTTTGAATATGCCGCATCCCGTACGTTTGTTTTCAAAAACGTCCATAAAATGACGCATCGTGTAATAAAAAAGAACAAAACTATTGTCATAAACACAAGCTACAATATACGGACACAGGGACTTGGCTGAGACACATAAACACTGACTTTGTTTTTTGTTTAGCTAAAGTGTCTCGACAAGCTTGGTAGCCATCACAAATAACTAACGTGGTGCGAGTGACGTACTCTCCCTCCTTCATGTTCATCATATATAATTCCCTTGTTATTGCAATACTATGGGACCAATTAAAGTCACTGATAGAGCTCGTAGAAGTAGAATGCCTGATGGTGTTTTTAAGTAGGATGCTAACTCATCATACGAGTCCAACCAACTTGATAGCTGTTGACAGTAACTCGAGTCACACCATAATAACCGGCGTAGGGTCAGTGGAAAAAATAAGAGTGTAAATAACAAGTGTACTGTTCAGTGTTTCGATCTGTACTGCATTACTAGTGTAGGGTGTTTTCTTGGAAGGTAAACTATGTTTGCATTACAAGAATCTGGTCAAAATGATCGTGAAATTACTACCCGCGCATGTTGGAACCAGTGAAGTAGTTTCAAAGTTAAGCATACAATTGTAATAGGGTTTCCGAACTTCATCTACTGGGTTGGTTGAACTTTATGTTACGTATATCCTTATAATGGTGCACGAAATCCCTGCTATACCAGGATTTAAGGTGTAAAAAAGGTGAGACAGCGACTTAGCTTACTGAGTAGTTACTTTTACGTTATTAGCGTGGATGATGTTCAAACACTATAGGTATTGAACCTGACAGAAATGACAAGTTTTACAATGGAAGTTGTACTATTATCTCAGTTTGGTAGAGAAGTTACTTGTTACGTATGTAGTGTCATTATAAACTGATAAATAGGTTTTGCGCATATCCTATCATTTTTCCTGTGGTTGAGTGGTGTAAGGAGTTGGATCTCTGCTGCAGTGTTAATGGGCGCTGGATCGAGTCGCAACCACATCAAAACTGTTGACAATCACTCGAGTCACACCATAACCATCAGGTGACACTGTACATATTCTCACAGCGTTCCGTGTCTCTTGAACACTTGGTGCATTGCACAACTCCGGCCAGAGACTGTGCCTTACATAGTCCTGACGATGTCACAGGTATTCAGTGTTTGACTACGCTTCTACCAGTAACACCTTCTAATATATTTCGTTCCCGCCCAGAGAAATCAAAAGACAGAGTCGTGGAGATCGGAAGAGTATATTTGGCGATGACCAATATATCGGAATTCCCTGATCTAATCTGGCTAGCGATTGCGGTTGATGTTGAGCACGGCGTTACCACACGTGATCTGGTGCGGATGCCTGACCGAGCGCCTTCAGCTAGATGAGTCCACTAAAACATATGGTCAGCATCCAATGTCGAAAACTTAGTGCTATTTATTTTGGGGATTTATTTACCGCTACAGATCACCCCCCCCTAGTGGGGCAGTGACGACCCTAAGACGTGGCCAGCCAGAAGTTTAAACCCAACGAGTTTGTCGTTGGTAAACACTCTTCTGATAGCTTACTAAATTTAGCAGCGTCTGGTCGTCTTTCCTTACTATATGAGACGGAGGTACAACATAGTAAAAAAGAGAAAATGTACAATGAAAATTTCGGATCCTCATAAACGTCATCGTTCTTTTCCAGCCGTCCTGGAAAAGAAAAAATAAAATGTACGTGCATGTCGAAAATACACTCGTATGTGCGTAAAAAAAACACAATGTCGGCGGAAGAAAAATGGAAAATAAACTCATGAACACGTAATAGCGTTAAAAAAATGTTTTTTTTGTTTTGTTTTTTTTAAATAGAAATAAAAATATATAAGCATATTAAAATTGTTTTTTTTAAAAAAAAATAATATAAAATGTCGAAAAGTGCCTTACGTGCAATAGTCGTTTAAATGTTCTGGAAATCTCACCCTTCTTCCAGAACGCGTCGTTTTAAATTTATTTTCGGATACTGTCGGAGTATCATCGTGTGTGTTGGTTGTCGGATGAGGTATTATAAGTATCGGAGTCGTGCCGTTCGATTGTACCGAAGGAAAATCCACGTAGATAGGATTTCCTTCTAAATACGCTGCTTTTAAGCGATCGATACTGATGCTATCGTTGGTTCCGTTCTTATCGACTATATAGTACTTAGATTCACGTTGAAGAATTTGAAGGGTCCTTCGTATGCTGATTCGAATGGTCGTCGATGGGAGTCTCGACGAACGAAAACGTGTGTACTATATCGTAAGTCAGGTTGAACGAAAACATCAGTTGATTGAGGTCGAGTAGAAGCAGGTTTAACTGAACGCATTGCGTTTGTAAGCCTGTTCGTGTAGGAGGTTAGATCCATGTTCATTGAAGAGGATGAAGGATCCACGAATTCTCCTGGAAGTCGAAGTGTCGTTCCATAAACGAGTTGAGACGCAGTGTATCCAATGTCAGCTTTCACTGCATTGCGGATACCTAGTAAGACGAGTGGAAGAGCGTCGGTCCACTGTGAAACGTTTGCAGCTGATAGCGAAGCTTTCAGTTGTCGTTGAAAACGTTCTACCAACCCGTTTGCTTGTGGATGGTAGGCGGTCGTTCGGAATCGAGTGATTCCTAATAGTGTGGTCAGACGACGGAAAAGTTCAGATTCAAACTGACGTCCGCGGTCTGTAGTGATGGTTGAAGGGCAGCCGAAGTTTGCTACCCATCGTTCGACGAAGGTGCGGGCCACTGTTTCAGCAGTGATGTCCTTGATAGGTACTGCTTCTGGTCATCGAGTGAAACGGTCTACGCAGGTTAAGAGGTAAGCGTATCCATTTGAATCTGGTAAAGGTCCTACCAAATCCAGATGAACATGGTCGAAACGAGCATCGGGAGTTTTAAACGAGCCTAAGGGACATTTATTGTGTCTGATGACCTTAGATTTTTGGCGGCTTACACAGGAGCGTGCCCACTCCCTCACGTCTTTATTCATTCCAGGCCAGCAAAACCTTTCTGCTATAAGCTTGATGGTTGCACGAACACCTGGATGAGAAAGTTTGTGCAATGTATTGAAGACATTGCGTCGCTAATGTTTCGGCACGATTGGGCGATCCCTACCTGTAGATGTGTCACAAAGTAAGGTTTCCTTACCTGTTCCCATCTGTTTGATGCGTAGTTTAAGTGTTGTGGACGATAACTCGTGCTGAAGATCACTGTCTTCTTTTTGAAGCTCGGCGAGTTTAAGAAGGTCGATCCCTTGGAAACTGTTCAAGGAAGTTATGCGAGATAAGGCGTCTGCAACTACATTGTTTGCTCCAGAGATGTGTTGAATGTTTGAAGTAAACTGCGAAATGTAGTCCAGTTGTCGAGACTGACGAGGAGAGTACTTGTCTGAAGGAGAGCTTAGAGAGAAGGTGAGTGGTTTATGGTCAGTGAAAAGAGTGAATTTGTAACAGCTCAGGTTGGTTGGTTAAGAGTTGACCCCAAACAACCAAGCTTATGCCAAAACAGTATTGTTCAAGTATTCATTCACTTCCTTATTTTTTATAAGCGTTATATTCCCTATTATCTTGAATGTTGAGAGCCTTTGTTTGTCTGAACAGATAATCCCACGCTCCACTGTGACTGCGTGAAGATCGAAATAAAGACCTATTCACTACTTGTCTGGTTTATTCTATCAATAGCACGAGGGTTACCTTAAGGCACGAAATTGGTGAGCCCTTTTTGAACACAAATTTAACCTCATTTCTGTTAATAACATTTTTCTTACTTAATCGTAAAAGTAGACCTGATTAACCGTAAACTAATTTGAGTATATAACTAGTTTATTCCGTATTATCTTATGTTATTCGTGTTATAGTAACCACTTTTGTGCTAACTTTATTGCTATATTTGCCACATACCCCATGTCAGACTCAATAGAAACCCATAATCTGGAGGATTTGTCACCAGTGGAGATAGACACTGTTATGACTACGAAATCCCGACTTCCAGAATTTGATCGTAGCGATCCTGAGTTGTGGTTTGCTCAACTAGAGCATTATTTCACGAGACACAATATCAAATCTGAAGGGATTCGCTATAGAGACTTGTGTTCTATCCTTCCTCCTTCAGTCGCCAAAGAAGTCCGTGACTTGATTTTAAGTCCACCATCACCACAACCATACACCATCTTAAGACGAGAGATAATGAACCGTTTATCATTATCAGATTGTCAAAGAATCCAAAGACTTTTTCAAGGTGAAACACTAGGTGATCGGTCGCCGTCACAGTTTTTACGTCACCTCCAAGTCTTAGTGGGTGATAACACAGTGGGTGAAGCAGTCCTAAAACAAGGATGGATACAAGCTCTCCCATGCTACGTCCAACACTATTTGGATGCACAAGATCCTGAAACCTCATTATCTCATTTAGCGCGTATAGCCGATAGAATAATGGAAAGAGGTCCTCCAACTGGATCAAGCACAATAAATCACACACAAAAAGTTGAATCAGCAAAAGACCCCGTCATAGAAGGACTCATTGCGAGTGTTAAGAGTCTCACTGAGGCTGTCACCAGAATGCAAATGGGTCATAGAAACAGGAGCAGGTCACCACAACGACCACGATCCAAGTCACAAAACAGGTCACAAATGTCCAGACAATCTGGGCAGTTTTGTTGGTACCACTGGAAGTTTGGTGTCAACTCAACCAAGTGCATGCAACCATGCGCCTGGCCTAAGCATAATTCTAAGACAGCGGGAAACGAGTAACACCTCCACAGGTCGCGACGACTGAGGAGGGGCGCCTAAACAGTCGCTTGTTTTATGTTAGAGACAGAAATTCTGGCTTGAATTTCTTGGTGGATACTGGCGCTGCTCTTAGCATCATCCCTCAAAATAAAACTGAGATTAGTCGAGAAACATCATCAATTACACTTCAAGCTGCAAATAAAACTGAAATTGCGACATTTGGGCAGAAAACATTAACCCTAGATTTGGGGTTCAGGAGGCAATTCCCTTGGGTTTTCACGGTAGCCGAC